GCTCCTCGTGTTCTTCTGGAGGATGTTTGATTCTGGCCTGAGCATGGAAATCTCTGCACAACCAAAAGACTTCAGCCTCCAAGGACCAGGCTTGGAGCGCGTGCTTTTGATGCTAGGACCTGACGCTCGGCAGTGACGTTTCTGCGAACTGCCACAGTCATCGAAACTAAGTGACACGTACCGTGGGCATCAGGCATCTTCAGCTAAAGCTCCGAAGGCTTCCTCGCGGAGTGCGAAGTCGAACCTTCTTCCACCTGCTTTGCAAACGTAAGGTTCCGGCATCCACGCCAAAGCCAAGCTTGGCAGAGGCCTTCCAGCTGGCTTTCAACATGAAGCAGGGCGAGCACATGAAGGATTTTAAAAGGCTTTCACGCCGAGCAGCTGTACTGTGCCTTGCATTGATACTCCTGAGGACGACGTGAGAGCTGGTGGCTAGTGACTCTCGAAAATCTTCGCAAGCCTGGCGTAGGTCTCCGCATCGGCCTTAGGCACTTTGGCCTGCATGGCACGTCATCGCACAATCGAAGCAGTCGGCACATGAGGCTTAATGGCAAAGTTCTGCTCTGCCTGGGACTGCAAATCTGACTTATTGCCAACAATCGCCAGGACACACTTCGTGCCCTCAGTGCCACATTGAAGAGTGCAATGCGCGTCTGGCACTGCTTGTCCATCAGCTCCTGACCATCACCTGAAGCTCTTCAACCCATTTGGCAACTCGCCTGATCTCAGGAAAGCAGGGCCGATGCTGTGATCAAGTCTGCGACATTTACCATGCAAGGCGCCTAAAGCTGTCCAAATCCGTGATATCGTAAACCAGCAGGGCACCTGAGTTCGACTCGGCAGGCATACACACTCCAAGTTTCTTCATGAAAGCCTCAGCAGCAGGCCGTCAGCATTGCGGTAATAAATAGGTGCCAGCGAGTGGAAGCGCTCCTTGCAAATGCAGGCCCGCAGCCGGACATCCAGTCGCTAGAAGCATTGAAGCACAAGGATTAAGAGCTCCTGCCCAGCGGTGTCCCAAAGGGAAAGTTGAACCTCTTCGAATTTATCGCTCGCAACAGGATTGACGGATTCGGATTGTATGCTCGGATGCGCCTGTGTGCCTCGAAGCTGGAGGATCTTGTCAAGGTAGGCCGCAGACTGAGTGGAAGCCTTGCTCCGACAGCATGAACCAGGAAATGAAAAGTCTCGAGTTGCACCTCATGTTCGCTGAAAGTCTTCGAGACGAACTGCCGCAACAACGATGTCTTGCCCACACGCCCCTCCAGCCGACGCGAGATGAGGGAGAGGACGCGCCACATCGAAACGGAAACCTCCCACCTCGCCCAGGATGACTATCTTGAAAGGCCCTTCTTGACTCATCGCATACCTCACCTGCACGAGTGACGGCTTGAGGTCCCAGTATCTGGCAACTTCAACTGCATGCACGGCTAAAAGCAGGCGTTGGACCACTGAACTCAGATTTCATACATTGGCTTTGGGGTAACCAGCGACTGCCAATCTGCGCGGCAATCTGCAAGAGAATGCGCTTTGCATTGGCTCTCTGAGTTGCGATCCATGCGGTGCTTTCGATTCTATTGGTTGCGCAGCCGTTGGTGGATTCGTTTGGGGCATAAAATGTCGGCATTTTTATTATTTTCATTTGAATGGAAGGGAGGGAGAAGGAGGTGCACGTCTCTCTAATAACAACAACAGTAGCAGTTTCCCTCAGAGCTGCAGCGCTAAATGAAAAACCAAGAGAGCAAGGGAGCAAGAGATGCAGTAGTAAGCGTGTGTAAGTGAGTGACGTACGAGAGTAATTCAATAGGAGAGTAAGAGTAAGAGTAACAGTATGCGCTACGTGTACGCGCTGAAGTAGAAGCAAAAGTCCAAGCACATGGACGAAACAAAGCAAGAGTACGGGAAAGGGCAAAGGCAAGCGCAAGATCACACATCACAAAGCAGTAGTCGCTCAAGAACATGCGACAGATCCAGAATGGATTTCTTGCACCAATGCAAGCGTTCAGCATCATTCAGTGAGCTTGGGACCGCAAAAGTTGGGAACCGAGTGTTGTCATGTTTGCGCGGAGTGGTTTGGTTGGCTGAGGATGCCTCACGGCATGGGCTGTGTGGTCGAGGCCCCTGCCACTTGCCGAGCGGCTCGGTTGCATGGCCCATGGGCATGGGTGCGGGTGTTCGTGCGTCATTCAAGACACCATCAGTGTGTCATACGCAATCTCCTTGCGGCGGATGGAGCTGGTCATCCAACTTGTATGCCACTATCTGTGGGTTCTTACGCTTGACATATAGTCGCACATTACGTTGTCGGTGGTGTCCGAACTAAGCCGAAGCACGGGCGTTTCGGCTGCTGTCCTCTCGCTTCTTTGGCGATTGGGCATGGACTCGTGCCAACCGAATTGGCACGTATGCGGCTTGCGAAGTGTCCACGCGAGACTTTGGCAGCCATGCCCTGGTCGAATATGGTCGAATGGCGGGATCGCACATGATCGCGAGTTGTTGCCTTGCCAGGACATCCGTCGAATACGGCCCCCCCTTTGCTTCGGCATGGGCGTCTTCCAAAGAAGTCACTTTTCGCAAACTTCTGCAATTGGCGCCCCGTCCTCCAACCTGGTCCAGGTTGAAAGCAATCAGAGACTTTCCCGGGACTAACCGCTCGCATTGCAGCAGATCCAACATTCCACACTAAGCGCTGTTGGATGCCCAGCTTGGAGTCCAGGCGGTTTTACTTCTGAGTCGCAGAAGTGCGCTTTCCCACACGCTTCGACTCTTCGTTGCGGATCTCGATGTTGCCCGCACGTTCGGGACCGAAATTGTCCTGGAAGACTGCGCAGATCTCTGCACAGGATTGTTCATAGCCGTCGACGAACGCTTGCTACCAAGCCGCGCTCCGTCAACTGGGCCTTGTTGGAGCCGGTGGCAATCAGTGAGGGCCAACAAGTGAACCGAAGTTGGGCAACGGCTGGTAACGCCCTTCACACGGGCAGCACACGTAGAATAGAGTTGTGTCTTGACCTGCCTCTTTTGCGGAGCATGGGGGAGGAGGTACACTGCAGCGCAGCGACAGTTGTGTTATGTTTGTCTGCTCTTGCCTTGTGAGAAGAGAAGGGGGTGCTGACGCGATTAAGGAGGGTTCAGGGGCACGCTCAGCATGCTTTCCAGCCCCAAACACTCCTGCGATTCAGTAGGTCGGCCAAATTCCTTCTTCAGGTACTAATCAAGGTGGCCCATGTGCTCTTGTTTGCATTGCATCTGTCCTGCCGGAGACCAGCGTCCACCGCGATCCTGTGTGAATACTTAGTAAGTGAATACTTAGTGAGACTTGAGCGCCAACCGTGCAACGTGCCAAAGCGGGAGCCGCGTCGCTGGGAACGGACATGCAACTCCAGGCGTGAATTAAGCCTGTTCATGCTTTTAGCTTAGTGTTGAATTTTTCGCTGCCATAATCTTGCAATAGGTTTGGCCCCTGTAGACTTCACATTTTGATGGCAAACGCATCGAAAATGGAAAGGGAGGGAGGGAAGAGAGGGCGCATACCAAAGGCTCCGGCAAAGCATTGACTTCTTCTTTTCTATGAAGCCCGCTCACGAACAAGCCTCGCAAGAAGGATGCGGCAAGATACGATGTTCTGCAACCTACACGAAACAAAACCAATATACTGCTGCCTAGCTGAAGGAGCTCGGAATCCGTGGCAGCTATAAGATTTAAGTCATATTTAAGTAGTGGATTTATGAGCGTTCTGGAGGCATGCAGCTGCTCATTGTGACTGCCAGGCCAACTTAGAGGCGGTATCCAGAGCAGCTAAACAAAGCTGAGGTGATCTCGGCTGACAGGGTTGCAGTGCAATGCAGCGGGGCGGTTCGTGTTCGATGTTGCTTGTTTTGCTTCGCTTGTCTTTGTCATTGTTTGGCTCTTTCCAGACCGTACTGCAACTGTGTTGGCGCAGCTGAGCCACACACCTCATTGGGGCTGGCGTGATGCGCGTGTCACAGCACAGCCGCGAATCCTACCCCCTCCGGTTTCCCCAGCTCATGCTCTGAACCTCTCAGTGTGGTGCAGCAGATGCAACAGTCACTTCTGTTGAATCTCTTGAATTGCACCCTGGCCGATCACCTTTTTGTGTCTTTGGCTCTTCAGACATGCCGCTGGAATGAGGGTATTTCAAAATTTTGGGATCATGGAAAATGGATGCCGGTAAAAAAGACTGCAGGTGATTGCAAGACAGATTCAAAAAAAATGAGTCGTGCAAATGTCCGCGTCATCGTGCCTGCACGGGGCAAGAAGTCTGCCTCCGGCATTGCTCAGCGGCGGCGAGACGCTTCGAGCCAGAATGAGGTGGCATCCAAGCTGATATTATGAAGCGCATTTTCCTGTGCACCGCTATGCCCTTGCAGCGCGATTTTTTTTGGCCGCACTCCTAAGGTGCTCTCAGCTTAATTAAATGCATTTTGCTGCATTCGACACTGTGCGATCACACAGCAGAGCTGCGCGGGGTGGCTTACCCTGATGTGTGGTACACCCAAAACCGTGAAGATGCCCATAAAGATGCCTCTGCCCTACAAACCATCATCTCACTCAAATCCGAAAGTTGCATGTATTCTGACTTGCCACCTGCAGCGGAACGCGGAAGTTGGTGAACCAGGACCCACACTTCCGGGTAGCTAGCGCAGAGCCCTGTGCAAGGACATCCTCCTCTCAGCCATGCCATCAGTATCCCTATCCATCAGTGAAGGCAGGAAGGCAGCACATGCCTGCAAACATTTCGACGTGATTGGGCCTGTTTGCATTGACAAAATATCAGCGCTCAGATTGAATCACGCCTCTACTGCCGGTACATGAACTTGGTGATTGATTTCCGTCAATGCTCAAGCACAGGGATGGAGCGTCAAAACGGACCACCATTTTGCAACTTCCAACTTGACCTGCCTCGCTGCTGAGCTGTTGTCCTCCACAGCCAGAGGTCGTTTCCACTCTGCAGAGGATGACTGATATTATCCAACTGCCTATGGAAAGGTCTTCTTCGTCATGATGTTGTAGAAGTCCTGGCCAAGAGGCTGTTGCAGAAAAGGCCAGGACACCGCCTCACAAGTTCACATTTAAGATGACATAAGTTTCTGTCGCTGTCCTCAGGGGTTATGGCACCATCTCCATCAGCGTCAGCTCTTTCAATCATTTCTCGGAGCTCCTGCAGAACCCTCGCTGCTCACGATTAAGGACAAGTACTGAAGAAGGGGTGCTCCTCTTCTGTCATGGTTTCGCCGAGCTCTTTTGAAACTCGTTTGAGGTTCTTCAGGGTGATCGTCCTGGTGCCAGATCTTGCAAGCAGCTCGCAGCGATCTGCAGCATTCAACCGTGGCAGTCCCAGTTTTGTCATCGTCGAACAGATTAAAGATTTTGTGTATGCCATCGCGCGTCTCCTTGTCGCCCTCGGCACATGCGGGTGAAAGTGTCATGAACAGGCCCGGCTTCAGTGGCCGAGCGCCCAACCAGCTTTGCTGTGATGGCATCCAAGAAATCGTCGAATCCGATGGCTGTTCCTGTTACCGTGCAAGCCAGCACTCCATTCCAGATCGAACAAGGAGGATGCCCCTACCACATTAAGAATTTGCGAAAACAAGTCCAATTTCCCGAGGAAAGCCCCCGTTTACCATTTGGACGGTGCGGTGTGCTGAGCTGGGGCTGCGTGCCCGACAGTTGACCTCTGCCGTCCTAAACTTTCCTTGCTATTCGAAGCTCCTTTGAACTGCTCAAGACACAAGAAAGACACAAACGTAGAAATCACGACGGTGAGCTCTACATGAGCAAAAGACATGGGGGCATCACCATCTTGATCCAGGTCGGCGATCATCTGAAAGATGGTTGGGTTCTTGGTCTCAAAGCCCAGCGATCTCATAGCTGCTTTGAGCTCGCCCCTGCACGAAGCACACCACTCGTGCACCTTCTGTCATAAAACGGGCGGCGGCGCACGGGTCTATGGTTCCCGAACCATCGGTGTCAAAGAGATTAAAGGCTTCTTTGATCTCATCGATCTCATCCTTCGCGGCTCAGTTCTCCACATGTCATCCAACTTAAGACATGCTGGAGTCTTGACTGTAGTCCATGCCAACATCCGACGTCCTCGGTCAAGCCTGGTTTATCATATGTCAGCTTCTTCCGGGGAGCACCCCTGAGTGTGTCGGATGATGGAAAACGTGACACTGAAAACATCGGACAAACTCTCTGCAGTCAACTGTTTGCACTGTGCCTTCGTGAAGCACCCATCGACATCCTCACAGGTCGCGCTGGGATTGCGTGAAAAGAACTAAACGTCCGCACTCACACAATGCGGCTTGGATTCGTGAATGACGGTCGAAGGTCTCCAATGGTGGAGAGGAACTCGCTTGAACCGGGCCCGGAACGGCACTCAACAATCAATCAAAGGCATCCGTGAACCATTGTTGCCACACCATCAGCATCACGAAAACAGCGCGCATCGGCAGCATGGTCCGTTGTTGACACCTCCAGGCGTCGCTGAAGATCTCAAGCAGCCCAACTTTCGGGCTGTCGAGCGGATTGCTGAGTCTGTGAAACCGGTCAGAACCAGGCGGAGTGCGGTTGAGGCCTGTAGCAGGGCCCCATTTCCAAATACTTAAGTCAAGATGCAGCAGTGCTCTGTAAGGCTGTAAGGCTCTTGCTTTTCCAACCACAACACGGTCAGGATGTGAATGAACATGTCCTGGACATGTCGCACGAGACGGAATTGAGGCACGATAGCATCTTGTAACATCCAGCGGCCACAAGATGCAGGTCAAAACGAAGGGCACCCCTCCACGTCTCCCAAGAGAGACGTCACAGCACTGCGAGCTAGACTGGTGGGTGGCAGGGGGAATACAATCCTCTCAGCACACAAGTTGATGGCAATAAGCACTACAACAGAGACACACAATGCGACACACACACAGAGACACACACTCACTCACTCACTCACTCACTCACTCACTCTCACTCACTCACTCACTCACTCACTCACTCACTCACTCACTCAGCAAGTCACTTACTCAGTAATTTGTTCAGTCAATCACAAACTCACTCACTCACCACTCGTTGATCACTCACTCGGTCACTCACTAACTGACTGACTTACTGATGTACTGCCTCACTGACGGACTGCATGCTTGGCTGGTTGGCCGGCTGTGGCTGGCTTCCTAACCGACTGACTCACAGACTCAACTTGCTCACCTACTTACTTGCTTGCTTGCTGGTTTGGTTTCCTACTTCCCTACTTGCCTTACATACTTACTTCTAAACTGCAGACACGATGATATTCCGGAGGTCCGTCCAGCAGAACGGACTTGTGGCACGGGAAACATGCGCATAAGTTTAATGACGGGATAGGTACAAATCAAGAAGCATCGACTGAAGCGACGCTCTTATGCATGCAGGACGCCTTCGCTGCCTCCGACTCTTCCAGGAAGCAGACTTCGCAGCCTGAAGCTTTTGCATCGTTGCTGCGGTACCTGGCCGAGCATGCGAGTGCGGAGCTGTGAGCAAACAGGACCACTCCTTCCATGTTTGGTGGGCAGTGGGCACTTGAGTAATACTCCGCAGTTCTTTTCCATGTCGGTCAAATGCGACTCCCACTGGCAACGTGCAGTTCATGCATGTACATACCAGCACGCTTCCAGACCGCGGCTTGCAGCCTGCCTGCGCGATGAGCATCATGCTGTCGCTAAGAGAGCAGATGCCCTGCCACAAATGCAGAATACAGAGCATACTTCAAAGGGGGATCGCCCACCAGAATCGCATCCATCATGATGGAAAGATCGGTTCCATCGGCACCACCAGGAAAAAAAGACCTGACTGACTTCAGCAACGTGAAAGCAATGCTGAGAGGCTTTGAGTGTGGCGCAGAAGCTAAATTCTGAGATGGAAGCAACGATGAATGATTGTGGTCCAAATAATACCTTCAAACAACAGACATGAAAGGCATGCCAGTGCCGGAGGGACTACGAAAGGACTCTGAGAAAAGCGATGCTCTCAGCAATTCTTGCGGAAAGGTGCTTTGTTGGAACACGCCAGATCGGAGCCCCGTGTGCCTCGGGGCGCCAGCAAACTCGCAGGGTATTTTCTGGGAGGCAGTGCTCAGGCCTCGGGGGAGCTCAGGAGTAACATGGCGTATCTGCCTTGAACTGCAGAACTCAACCAGGCCTGCATGGAGGCTGCGGCAACAAGTTTTATGGTTCAAAGTTCATGTGCTGCGGACGCTAGGTTGGTTTGGACGATACAAGTAGACTGCTGGTACTCCGTGGGCAAGCGGTGCATGGAGTCTTTGAAAGTGAATCTGCTGACATGGATTGGAGCAGCGGGGCGGGTGATGTATGAAAGCCTGGAAAAGGGCTTCCCGCTCCTCACTTCCTAGTGGCAGTTCAAAAAGCAGTGCTGAAAGCTCTGAATCTCGCAGCATAATTTCTGACATGTTTCCTTACACCGACACATCCCAGCCTAACTTGAACAGCAGCGCTACTTGGGCCAACATTGCGTTTATGTCAACTCTGGAACCCATTTCGCTTTGCACTTCGCTGCTGTGCAAGATTTGCAGCGATTCTGTGCGAACAAGGAGAAGCATCAGTTCTACTCGCACTTGCACAATGCAATGCGACGACCTCTCAGAAACGTCTGCTCTGCCGTGCTCAGCAGTTACATGCAGATGTTGTGTTCCGTCCAGCTTTGCAGTTTATCCTTTAGAGTGACGCCCGCGATTGTTCCCTGGGAGTACTCTTTAGGAGAGCGGTGGCACGGCCAGCGATGGTGCAAGCATCCGCTTGATTTCAAGGGATACGCAAGTAAATCGCCAGTTAGCAAGTGCTCGTCCGCGGGATGTTCACTTCCAGTCTACGGCTATAAGAAGCTCTTGGACCTGCTTTAGCATAACCTGCGCCCTCGTAGCAAGATCATGATTTATTTCTGAACGGGCGGGTTGTTGTCACCTCATGATAGCAGGCATCGTTTTCGCCAAGGTGAACAATCCCAGCGTTGCGGAATTCCCAGCGATATCGAACACCTTCATTGGCCCCGTAAGCTTTAGATTGCATTATGATCAGCAGCGGGCCCCTATCCGGAGACGCCTGGCTCGCGACCATCAACTTCTCTGCCAAAAATCGATTCACAAGGTGCTCGTCACCGTGCCCGTCTCTGGCAATGTCACACGAGAATGGCACAAATGCTGAGGTACCGGAGAACAGTCCACCTGACGCTGGCGATGATACACACCAGCACAGGGATGACACGCGCCCTGCGAGTTCCACTCACGCGCTCGCCTCGCAGGACAATGAAACGAGCGCTTTATGAACTTCGCTTTCGACAGATGTAGAATCGGCGGTTTGGAGGCCAATTCGACCCTTTGAGCAGTTTGCTCACCCGTCTCACCAGCTCTTCCCTTCGAGATCTTCCCACCCATCTAAGCGGACTTCTTGGTCTGCCTGATCGTGGGAAGCCAAATGTCAGATCAGTTTTGTGCAGCTTCTATGCGTGGTTCTTCCTTTGTGTAATCTAAGAATAACCCGAAAACGTTCGAACCATCCAAAAATAAACTCCTTCACCCACCCCCCCCCCCGCCCCCAACCCCCCTGCGCTTGCAGATATGGGATCGCTCGCCTAACAATCAGGCGGACTTGAGATGTGTTGAACTTTCGAACTCAACTGCCGTGGCATACTGAGGGGGCAGGTGCAAGAATGGGATCAAGCGCTATCGTCTACCGGGAGCGGATTTGGTGTATGAAATCAACCGTCATCGCCTAATGACGTTTTGAGATTTGAACAGACAAGAGACCTAGCGAAATAGCCTACGACTGGGAGATTAAAACATGAGATCTACCGAACCCGCCCATTGAGGGGCCGGGCAAGAGACATGGGGGAAGAGGGGGCCAATTTCAGATAGGAGATGCACCGCTATCATGGCCGCCATTGCAAGTTCGAGATGTGAGATGAAGCATCAAGCACCATCAGAATCTGACGAGGGGGCGGGTGTAAGATATGAGCGTAACCGCCCTCGCCCATGAGGGCACGAGTTGAAAACAAAAGGACCAGCTGCGTCCCTGCTTTCCATCTTTTTGTCTTCGAAGTTTCAAGCTTTGGAACGTTCAAATTTTCAAATTTCACGCTCGGAACTGAGCGGAACGTCGAACTCTTCCAACTCAGCACACTTCAAACCTTAAAACGGTTGAAACTTCCAAACTTCGAGCGCGCAAGCTCTCGAAATTGCGGACTCTCAAACTCTCGAACTCCCAAGCTCTGAAGGTTTGGAACTTTCGAAGTCACAACCTCTCTCTCTCTGTCTCTCTCTGGCGACCTCAGCGGCGAGTCGCGAACCGACTTTGAAGCCAACAATTGAAACTTGAAGCTCGCGAATTTGCAACTTTCGAACTTTGAAACTTTCGAACTGTCAAGCTCAAAACTTTCGAATCTTTCAACCCTTTGTCGAACGTTCGACCTTCCGAGCTTTCTTTCTCGAACTCGGCCACGGTCGAAGGTTGATATGAAGGTTGTAGCGTTCGGAGCAACGAGTCGAGCTCGAAAGCTCGCAAGTTCGACGCGGCGCGCGCTCAGGCATGCCGAGATGCCCAAACTTTCGAACTCCTGCACCTTTGAGAAGCCTTCAAAGCTTGAAACTGTCACACGTCCAACCTTCGAACTCTCGAACCCTTTGACCTCTAGTAGACGGGTTTTGTGGTTTTGTATGTTTGGTGGGCGGGGGGGATGGTGATCACCCCCACACCGCTGCTGACGTACAGGCAACATGCAAGGGGAGGTTTGGGGTGAACCCCCCTTATTTGCCGAACCCCGCAGTGCCTAACTATTTTCAGCGCTGAGTATTTCGGTTGTGTTGAACGGCTGAGGCCAGCATAGCAGCAACCGTCCTCGCCTGTCTGTCAAGAAGCTGCCGTCTGGTGTTCATTCTGGCAGTGTGGACCTGGCGATGGAAGCTGCGTGCACTCAAGCGACCTCCTGCAACTGGGCTCCACGCCAAGGCATTTGAATAGCGATCTTGCGAACGAGCGGTGTCAATCGTGTCACACTCTTCGTACCTGACCTGACAGACCACTCTCCCAGTCTGTGTGTCTGCGCGTCTGCCAGGCAAAGATCTCTCAGGCAGGCTCCGGCGAGTAGCTCAAGGTCTGCATGTGCAGTGCCTGCATGTGCAGTGCCTGCATGCACCCGGCCCTCATCTAAGGACGTAATATGCAGGTAGCAGCCGCCAGCTGCCAGCTGATGACCCTCGCCTCACATGGCCTGGGTTCATCTCCGCGGTCGTCAATGACCAAATGGGCCGACTGACTGGCCAGGGAGGACGGTAACGTGTAGAGTGCAGACCAGTGCTGCGGGCCTTTCAGTCCAACTGGCCACATAGACCCGCTCTTGCAAGCATTCGTCCTGCACGGCCCAAGCTGCAAAAGTGCGTCTTCGCTCCCATCCTTGTGTGTTCTGCATTTAGATTGAAGCTGTTGCGGTCGCAGCTCCCTGCCTAATGCCTTTCCAGCCATGTCATTGTTACAAATGGCGCTAGCCGCCTATCTTAAAGGCTGCAGCTTCGACATTCACTGACTGCTGTATGCACCAAGCTTTCCGGTACAGAAAACCTGAGTTTGCACTTCCATCACCGGCAGGGCTCTCGAGCAAGAACCACACCCCAAACAAACCCAGCCCCGTGTGCAATGAGTTCTTGCCTTTTCACCTGTTCAGCAAGTGCTGTTGCCCAATTATGCTGTGAGAAGGACATGCTGTCACACACATGTCATCGTATACTTTGCACAAGACATGCGACCCGACAGAGCTGCTAAATGTCAGAGCCTTGTCCACATCGCAGACGTGGAAGTGTGGGGAACCAGTTCGCAGTTCACCATCGCACCTGAAAACATGTGAGTCGAGGAACAACAACTCCAGTCTGAAAAAACCAGCCTTTTCAACTGCTCTTGTTGGCAGCACTGAATTGACCTGATTTGCTCAACATCCATGCGAAGTCGCGGGACACATGTATCACAGGTGAAGCATGGTGAACCCCAGCAGGCGAGCGACTGTGACAAGCCCTGTCCCATTGCACATGGGTTCCTTGTGTGGCTCCAGCCGCAAGCCAGCAGGAGTGGTCGATCAAGTCCACAGGTGCCTCCTAACTGTTTTTGTCCTGCTAGCTCTGCTGAACTCTGCCAGTATGCCGGGAAGTAAAGTGATGCTCAAGTTTCTGCTGAAAGCTGCTGCAAGCTGGATGATACTAGTAACTAGTAGCAACATGTAGCGACTGATCCGGATTGAATCCTTGGGCCTGCAGCTTCAAAATGCGACGGGCTGCAGGCTCGGTCTCTTCGCGCACACCCGACATCTGCGCTAGCATGAAACCACATCTGTCTGAACATGCCGGTGCCAGTTTGCGCCCCTGCTTTGAAAAACCTGTTAAGTTGCTGTTGGCGTTACAAGTTTACTCTTGTTCCATGGCATCTTTGAGCCCTAGAGTCCAGAGCCGTTTACACCTCCAAGTCTTTCGCAACCCGATCCCGGCTATAGGCAAGACACCGTTTAGCAGGTGGCGGGGGCTTCAACCGCCTCGGCACTCTGGTAAGCACCGTGGTAAGATGCGGTATGCCTCTGAGATTCTGGTGTCGTACGATGCGCCTCGCGAAGTGCAAACGGCAAAAGACCGGCCGCTACAATGAATCATTACGACACGGCACAGATCCGGAGATCATCAGACTGGCTTCACCATGTTTCACAGGACGAGCCCGACAACCCTTCCGACTCCAACAGGAGGCCACACCCGACTAGCTTCAGCCGTTCTGCGTGAAGCCTCAAAATCAAGTTTTCCGTCGCCTTCACGACTTCACGAAAAAAATCTCTGTGAAGAAATTCAATACATCGGCATCACAACCCTCGAGAGCTGATTGACAACAACTCCAATCAAACGGGATCCAACAAGCAATAATCCGAGTACCAGAGCCACTCAGTCTCCTTTACCGTTACGACGGTATCACTTCCACCCATCCGGAATGCCAAAGCGACTTCGGCCTCTGCACTTGAACGGAAAACGCCAATCTTCCGAAAGTCTGAAGCGCACACGGCTCATCCCGGCCGCAAATGCACACCTAGCATGACACTGCTGCCGAACACTTGCAAAGCCAAAATATTACTTTAGACAAGTTTCGGCGATGCGCCACGGCCGAAGCCGCTATGGAGCGCGTATTTATGTTTGTCCTTTTCTTGGGTGTTTTACGGATTTCGGAACATTACCTGATGGTCGTGACATTCGTCCTCTTCTGCACGGGATTTTGATTGCTGTACTGATAATTGTTTTAATCTTCGTTTTTGGTCTGCAGGCTCAACAAAGGTTCCTTGTCAAATCACCTGTGATGGGCCTCAAGACTCGTGATTCGACCGTCCCCAGATTCCGGCCTGCGGAGCGGGTGCGATTAGTCCCAGCCAAAACGGGTCCATGGTTGAAACGGCAACAGGAAAAGACAGCAATGACTTACAAGCTGCACCGCTGCGAAGCCTGCAAGAACGCAGCCGCGCATACTATTTTAACCGGACGACAATTGCAACCGTGAAATGAATCGGAGGAAGCACTCCCGTTGCAACTGCGCAGACAGTGCAAATGGAGGCTGGTCAGAGGCTTGGCCTCTGAATCTCCATGTAATGTCTCTCAATGCTCAGGGGCGCGATGTCGCAAAGGACCTGATGGCCCCGTGCCAAATTTCACACTTCAAGGCACGAGTCCTGACCAAGCTTGGGGCAGCATTCAATCGAAGCCATGCACAAGGGGCAGCGCTTGTTGCGCCGAAGCCTCAGCCCACTATTCTAGGAAACACGTTGCTTCCTGCCGGCGGCTGCAAACAACTGCTCTGCTTCAAAAGCTTGAGTCGAAGACCACCTGTCAATGCATTGACGATGAAACTCGTGGCCACAGGGCAGCCTTGAAAAGCTAATGGCCGCTCGCCAGCCAACATTAAAAAAGCAGGCTCCGAAGAGCAGCATGCAGCATGCCTCCGAAGCAGCGTGCCGTCTGCAAAACCCGAGAGGCAGATGGAGCATGGAGCCTGTGTCAGTGTGTGTGAGGCAATGAAAGCACCCGCAAGTGAAAGTCAGGACTTAATCTGGCTTATAATCGACAGCCCCGTGGAACCGCTAGTCAGATAAATCGGGACAAAAGTCGCTGATTGTGCGGAGCGTCTCGGTGTTATGTAGGAACAAGTAGTGGCTTGCGGAGCGAAGCGACGCATGCCTCGTGTCCTAGTGTGGATCCTCTGGTTGTTGCCAAGTTTGCTGCTCGAAGCAAGGGTTTTCAGCTGTGCAGCAAACTATCGCCGTGTAGGCTAGCTTGCAATTGAGCGCAATGCTGGCTGGTGATCTCGGTGTTAGAGTGGCCAGTTTAGTCGCTGGACTTGTCTGAGGATGAAAGGCTACTAATCCTGCGGGGAATGCTGGTCTGGAGGGAAACGGTGCTGAGCTAGAAGACTTGCAGACGTTGCTTGCAGCGGCCCTGCCGCTGGCCATGCCTCTTGGATTGCGGCGGACTGGTCGGTGCCTTTACCCTACAGTACTACGTACTGTCCCCCCGGGTCGGGGGCCCTTATTGCAATGCCCACGTGTAGAACACCTGCAAACACAGACCATGCCGACCTAAGAATCCTAATGCAGCCAGTCCGGACACAATGGAGAACAAGCTCGCACGACTCTCTTTTTCAGCCACGAGGGCGAAATAGTCGGGCAGGTTCGGCAGGAACATGTTTTGCATGCGAAGCTGCAATGACACTCAGTGCTGGGGTCAAGAACACAAGGCCCCCTTCACACCCCCTTTGCCTGCGGAAGACACGAAAAGGCAGCTCGGGTAGGCACAAAGAAAACCCCACAACCCCCATTGCGGCGGGAGGGCGGGGCAAAATTTAAGAGAGATATCAAGAACGACCCTCAACTGTTGGCTGACCAACGTGGAAGCTTGAGGGTGTCCAGCACTCCTTGGTGTCCAGCGTAGCGTCCTCGAGAGGTCCACTACACGTCTTTTTGTTGGCGTGTGTCTTCCAGTGTATTACTGGGAAGAAACTACGTGAAGAGTCAACTCAACTTCAAGAACAAACCCACCTTAGGATCGGTCCCGTTGAGAGAGCACAAAACTGTCACTGAAAAGTTCGCCGATTTATACAAAGCCTTGACATGCACAAGCGAGAAATGCATAACGCAAAAGTCTCGGAGTCATGCGGTCGAAATTGCACAGACCAAAGGCTAAGTACACCTAAAACTACGGGCAACTCCAGTCAGATGAAGGTGCCGAACAAGCTCAGAGCAGGGGCCGACAGCAGCCCAGGGAGCAGCCCAGAAGTCCGCACCAGCCACCACAGCAGCCCCAGCGGAGACGACGAGGTCGTGTTTCAAGACACACAGAAGTATGCACTTTCCAACCATAGGTAGAAGACGGCGAGGTCAAAGTCGTAGACCAGGTGAACCACAAGCCATGCCACACCTGGTAGCAGAAGTCGAGGTCAAAGTAGAGGCAGCAAGGCACAGGGGGTGCCAGCCGCCCACAGCAGGGAGCTGTCTTCACGTCAAAAAGTCCACACCACAGCCTGGTAGTAGAAGACGAGGTCAAAGCAGTAGCAGCAAGGCGCACAAGGTGCCAGCTGCAAGCACACAGACAGCAGGGTACTGTCGTCACCGGTAGTTAGTAAACACCTCGGACCACAGTCAGAGGCGAGGCCGACAGGCCGAGGTACAAGTTCAGGGTAGGGACAGCCGACGTGACAGGCGGTCACAACAGCTGCCCCGACCCATAGCTCAGAAGAGCACGCAAGAAGCTCGGCAGGGCAGCCGAGCACGCAAGAGAACCACTAAACCCCTAGGGAGGTCGAGGACTAAACCGAAAGGGGAAAGGGGGGACTCCCCGGCACCTAAACCTAGGGGAAAGGAGGACCTGAACGTAGGGAAGGGCGAGGATCGGCACAGCAAGGCGAACAACCAAAGCCTAAAAACCCCAAGGCATAAACCCCAGGGCACAGGCACTGGTCGCTCACGACTTCGAAGAGCAATGCCGCGAAGGTGGACAGAAAGCCTGTCCCCAGCAGCAGCTGCAGCACGAATGGCCCGGAGTTCCCAAGAAGAAGCAGCATCGACACGTTGGTGCCACTGTTCTCGCTCAGAACCACGGAGACGGCGAGTCATGCATTGACGGGCGGCCTGGTCAGCTGCGCCTGCAAAGCTCGGCGGTGAGCGGGGCAGGAGGACACCATGAAGTATGTTTGCCATGGGAAGGAACCCAGACAGTAGTGCACCGAGTCCCTCGCTCAGCAGCAAGGTCAAAGGCACGCTTGACGGCAAGGGCCAGGGCCGGCAGATCACTGGACAAGCCCGACCTGCAGGCGAGGATGGCAGCAAAACAGTCAGTGAGAACATAAAGCTGCCGTCGCTTGATTTGCACGGGTTGCGAAGCCGCAGCTTGCGCAAGCCACAATAAGGCGATGAGCTCGGATTTGAACGAGGACTGATCCCCGTCAGAAACTCCAGCAGCGTGCGATGTGATGGCACCCTGCTCGCCACCAAAAACAATGGCCGAGGCGGCCACGTCGCAACATGAACTCCCATCCGTAGCCGCAAAACACGTCGCCTCGCCAGCATGCCCAAGAAGCTTAGCTAAGGCGTCCCTGAGCTCGGAAGCAAAGTCATCGAGGTCAACTGCAAAGGTAGCCTTAGGCCCTAGGGAACTCACCAACAGCTTTGGCGAACAAGCGTTCTTCGGCTCGGTCTCGGGGCATCAGCAGCGAGGCTCGGAGATGTTGGGTTTCAGGACAGCACCAGGTGAGGTGCGGTCGTGAGGGTTGGCCCGCCCCACACAAACAAGCCCATCGGGCGTGGTTCGCAGGAAACTGTCCACCATGGTTCAGGTGCCAGCAAGAGTTCCCACAAGCATGACTGGCGAGGACCTGGGCGCGGCCACCAGACTCAGAAGCAGCAATTACATGGCCGCGAAGCTGATACCGATCGGTCTTGGGAGGCGCCGGCAAGTCGAGACCCCGAGCAAGAGAAGGATCATCGCGGTGATATGACCGCCAGAGCCGGCCGCATCGCTCAATGCATTGGGCCCGAAAGTGATCCGAAAGCCATCTGTCGAGCTCCCTCAAGCTGTCCCAGCCAAAGCGCAGAGACCGAAGTCGCCCAGCACCGTCGCGACGAGACAGAGCCCCGGACACAGGGTCAAAAGACCAGTGAAGGGCTTCAAGCCACCGAGCAACCTCAGGAAGAAGCTGGTGCCAACACGGAAAGGCCTGGCTCAAAGGAACACACTCGGTCCAAAAGGGCGGCTTGGCAATGAACCGGGCCAAAGTGCTAAAAGCGCCCCGGCACAAAGTCATGGAAGGGAACAAGTTCCAGCCGAGTTGCTGCCACACAAGCACCTGCGCAGCATCACAGCCAAAGCCATCCTGAAAGAGGGCTTTGAGTTCACCCTTCAGTGCATCAAGCTCGCAAGTGCTAGGCGAAGCGAAGGCCGCTGCCCACGCAGAGGTGGGGACAACCAAGCTTTGAACGACTTTGGTGCGGTCCCGTTTGGACCTGACAGCGAAGGGAGGCCCTTCGCATAACAAACGCACTCCCAAAACCACAGCTGACGCCGAGGAGGTGATCTATATGCACACTGTCGCGGCCTTCGGTTTTGCGTCGGGCGCTTATCGTTGGCAGGAGCTCGCAGCGGCAGCTGTCAGGTTGGCGCACTATCTGTGCGAGTTGGCTGCCGCACTGCACAAGTTGTTGTACCCCGACGACGGACTGTTGCTTGCGTCGGGGCAGAGGCTTTTGGTTGCGCATGCTTTCATGGCTTTGTCCTGGAAGAAAGTTGTCACGTGTTGTCGGCCTGTCCGCACCCCGTGTATGCAGCGCCTTGCTGGATGGCATATGGCCCGTCTCTCAAGTTGTACTGTCACAGAAGGCCCACTCACCTACCCTTCGAAACGCCATAAACCCCTAACCCGTTGCAGCCGGCAAGATCACTTTTGCCGTGGGATGCGCAGCCAGACCCGTCCAGCCCACCCAAGCCTGAAAAAAATCAAGTTCCCAACCGAAGGACTTTCAGGCGAAGGTTCCGCCGGCGGCTCCCTTCCTGCGTAAATGCCTCACAAAACTCCCAGACTTGCAAGTCGCAGGCCACAACCTGACTCCTTTTTCACAGACACCCTGAGCTGCAAAGACGCGGCACTGCAAACCCGTTCCGAGTGCACGCACACCTACTCATATCTCAGCAAACGCGCGAGGGATAACCTTCCCCAACCGAAGGAAGGAACTCACTCCCCGCGCAGCTGCCCTGAGCAAACACATGTAACAAAGCAGCTCACCAACCAAGGCTCACTGAGGTGCAAAAGCCTCTTGTAAGTCTTGGCTTGCTCGGCTGACTCCGCTCCGCCCTGACGCCGCTTCAGTTCCTTGACATTCAACCACGTGAATTTCGCTGTCGAGCTGCATGGCTACTTCCATCAACCTGAGTAAAATGCGGAAACCAAGCTCGGAGATGTCTACGCCTGCGCTGATGCTCTGGCATGGATCGAAGCCACTGAAATCATTTGTTTGCCAGTGCGTCCGCAGGAACATTCTGCTCTCGCGGCACCCATGACAAGGACAGGACCGAGCCCAGTACTTCCAACTGTACCTCCGATTCCATCAAGATGATCGACAACGGAAAAGCCCTCGTAGAGCTGCGATTGCACGAAAAGGCTCACCTTTGACGTATGCCCACGGCGCTGGCTTTTTGTCCAACCTCACGGCGAACCATCGTGCCTGCAGAATGTCACCAGAAAAGGACTCCCAGCCACCAGCGCAGAACCTTGTCCCCATCCGCATTGGCATCGACTCTGAAAACGTCTTGCACGTGCGACATCAACGGTTTCGGGGCGGTCATTGGAGCACATTCCGCTTCCTTCTTAGTGAACTCCAGCAACACACAAATGGACAAAGGCAGCGCGGAAACAAGTTCCGGAGGCAGTTGAGCTACCCAGGCGAAGATAGCGCCAAGGAAGGGCCGAACGAACGTGTGGCAGCGCGCCAGGCACAAAAGAAAGCCGCTAACACGCCCTTCATCTTCATGATGCGGCCCTGCACGCAACCAACCCACTCGAAGAGCCACGCAACCTTGCTCGGGCCGATGCCTTTCTCGTACTTGGCCACGTCTAGCTGGCTCGATTTGCACCAAACCCCACGTGGCCGCCGCTGTAGATAAGCACTGTTTTTTCTCAAGAACAAGTTACCTGAGACACCAACGTGCCACGACATGTTGGCATTAGCGAAGGCAGTTGGCTAATTCAAGGCAGGGCGTAAAAATACACATCACCCGAGTGTCTGATTCAAGGCATTTACAGTGCAAAGTCCCCGCTCTTCACCACCACCTGCACAGTCGATTTTGCGAAAGGCACCGCAGTCACCAAAGGGACCGCCACCAGTCCTTTCCGCAAGTGTACGCTTTGCGACGGCCTGTTTGAATCACAGTGCATGCGTTAGCTAAACCATCAAAATCACAGGGCAAAGACATCAAGTCCCCAATATACGCTGGCCAACTGCGGCTGGCAGCACTGCACATCAAAAGCAGCCATTCCACATGCAGACGTTCGATATCGGAAGCACCCGCTCAAGACACACGTCTATGTGAGACCACCTTCCACCCCACCGACTTGGGCATGGTGGGCAGGTGCGAAAAATTGAAGCACGAAATTGCCAAACCCCCAAAACCGCAGCGCGACCCTGCATACACGTTACCACAGTAGTTGATTGTATGTCGTGTTGAGAGACATCTCCGCAAGGCGACTCTGTATTGTTGCGACTTTCTGCGGTGCGGCGACGGTTCATGAAGGCCCTTCGCCAAGGGTACGCAGATCCACGTCGGTACCGTGGAGAACTTGACTTTCGGATGAAAGGAGCTTACGCAGCCATTCCCCAAGTGTAAACGCCCTGGCAGCTGCTTATCGGTGCATACCGGATCATGCTGGTGCTTAGGAGCTTGGGGCAAATTGCAAGACGAGGCACATCCTGGTCGTCGCCAAGGGTTTTTGTGAAGCGGAATGCAGGAAGAGCGCTGATTTGCTCTCGCGTGGCCTCGGTTCATGAGGGCGCGGCGTGCAGACGTTAACCAACACCGACTCTTGCTACCTGCTCGAGTTGAGAAGCAGGCCCCCGTAGCAGCGGGCTCCTGAGCCAACCCGGCACAGCAAACACATTTCCTTCTCCGAGACTCGCAGAGTCACGGAGGCATGTAGCGTCTGTAGGAACTGGCTATTGCAAAGTCTACGCTGCACGAGTTCATTGACTGTATGTCACCTGGACAGAAAGATCTCCGTCGCGGAAGAGTGCTCGAAAGATGGCAATCGCGAAGGTTGCGCGCACTGCCGACAGTGACATGACCTGAAAGGAAAAAAGTTGAGCTGCACAAATTAAAACAGCATGCACATGCATGCACTATAGTATCGAACAAGGCAATCTCGAACTAAAAAGTCAATCAGAACATTGTTGACACAAGGGTCCATAGAAGCGCAACGCCAAGCGGGTTGTTGAAACCTAGACGTGAATCGTAGCACCGGTTCGAAGATGGTTCAAAAACACTTCGGTGGGGGCTCAGGAGCATGGCACGGACGGTACTGGCTGTGCAGCACCGTGCCAAGACAGAAGAGGAATGAGTTCTGCACTGCAGCCGCTTGACTCAGATTAGGATGAATCCACACCTTCGACTGAAACTCGCACCAGCGGAACCTCCTGAGAACCTCAATCTAGTACAGCAGTTGCTCAAGAAAGAAGAAAAGGGTGTCTCGCAAAGGATTGAGTTGCCCTGTAAACCACATGAGTTAACGGTTGCAGCTATCTCAGACCTGCCATTAGCTAAATTTGCAAAAGAGCGCGCAATCTCGCAACCGCTGGAAGCTTGCAACTTTTGAGGGTCGCACGGCTGCTGTCAGAGTTGAGACTGCGGGGCAATCTGGACAGGAGTCCGTATGCATCCACCAAACCATGCCCAGCACGAACCAGCCGTACCTTGGACTCGGATTCTGACTAGTTCGCAAATCACGGCTGATGACCAGGGCCAGGGAGCTGGAAAATCGCAAGGTTCTTGCTCAGACGCCATGCCTCGGCGAAAACCAACAAGCCACTAGTCACCCTCGGATAAGCTGAAGGATACTATTGCTCGTTTTCGGCCAGGTCCCGAGCCTTTGAAGATGTCAGCTGCACAACCCAGTCCTGAAAGGACTTGCGCATGCGCGAGGCAGAGCCGAATCTGGCCACAAGCTTGCCTCCAAACCAGTCCCCGACTCCTGCCCAAGCGCTGTACATCACAGAAAGGGACTCAGATGATACCCCGTATGGGAAATGTCCGCTCGTTGTCCAGGATCTTGCGGCTGGAACGGCAGGCTTAAAAGCAGCTTAAAGCCTTAAAGCCTTACGCTTCCTAATATCCTGATGTGGAGTACTTCTGGTTTTGAAAAGTCTCTGAGTCAGGAGTTCAGGTGTGGGATTCCACTTTCCGGGGACTCGGGACACAGGTTTACGCAATGTACAAGCTTGAAGGATGTGCCGTCCTTGCAAGGACGGCTTCAGAAATTGAAACTAGGGATCACGTGTTCAACTGACCGTGCGGCCGAATTTTCTCACGAATCTTTCCTGCTTTGAAACACGGCGCCTGAACGTTCAATCCCGACTCGTGAAGTTAGGTTTGAGATATGCTTCGAGGCACAGAGCATGGGAAGCGTTTTGGTTAGAGTTACTGTAAGTTTGTGACCCGTGCGACGTATGAATCTCATGCTGGACTCCCTATACCCGCCCCCGCACACCAAGCGCACACACGCACACGGACACGCAGGCAGACACAGACACAGACACAGACACAGACACAGACACAGACACAGACACAGACACAGACACAGACACAGACACAGACACAGACACAGACACAGACACAAACACACCATACCCACCCCCACCCCCACCCCCACCCCCACCCCCACCCCCACTCCCACGCGCAAATGCACACGCACACACGCACGCGCACGCACATGCACACGCCCACGCACACGCGCCCACGCGCCCACGCGCCCACGCACACGCGCCCACGCGCGCACGCACACGAACACACACACACACACACACAAATAAACACACGCACACACCCACACGCACAAGACTCCCACACAATTGACGCATGCTCAGCTGTGAGCACTTTGCGTCCGTGATAAACGGACCGCAGTCAAGTTCTGTGCTGCTACAGGCTCGGAGCATTCGCGACGTGTGCGCTGGCGAGCTGCTTGCTGGTATCGAGCAAGCTTAACAGAATGTTCCGAAGGAAACCACTTCGAATTCTTGGACAAGCACAAACTTGTGCCTCCACCTGGCACACGCAGTAGAGCAGCGCTATACGGACGGGCCTGGGTTCGAGATTCAACTAAACCTTCCCACACTCGAAGTACAATGAATCCGAAGAAACTCTCGGAAATTGAGTTCGACACATCTGCACTAGTTGAATGCAGGCTTGCAGAAGAAGCCACCACCTGAACCCATTTACGTTTCTTACTTTGTCTTTGAAAGCCTGACGCACTGATTACTACGACTGGAAGGTACTGGAAGCTTGATCTGCTGCCATGCTCTACCCCGCCTGAGAGGACGATCACACGTGGCACAAAGTTGCCAGTGAATCCACAAGAACGCCTTGTGTCACGTCTGCTGTTGGACAGAACGAGTACATTTTACTGACACTCGGGGCATGGCAAAGCAGCTGCCAGCAGAGACGGCATTACCAGCAGAGCCTCAAGGTCAGCAAGGCAGCTCAGCAAGGCAGCTGTGCAGGCGAGTTGTTGGCCGATTTCGAGAAACTGGCTGAACAAGGCCGTGGTGTACAGGAGCCGTGAGGCTGCCGCAGGGTTCCGGCGTACCACCTCCAAAAATCTGCAAACAATCCGCCATAAAGAGAATCCGCAGAAACCGATATCGACACTACACAACTAGGATCGACCTGGTCACGCCACCGCCAAACCAACACGATCACAAGCGACACGAGACGATAGCGGGGCCTGCATGTGCTGGGGCTATGCTTAACTTCAGCGCGGCGACTAACGGTTAAGTGCAATTACGACGGGGTTCAGCATCATGCATGGGCTACAACATCAAAGAAGCATGTTAAGCGGTCCAACGAGAACGCAACCGACACCCTGAGACTCGCCTTGCCCCGATGAGCTGATCAAAAACGTTGACGGTCAGTAGTGTGTCGCATGGGCATCAAGGCCTCCTATTACTCCAAAGTCAGCAACCGAGAACTAAGGGTTTGAGCTGGAAAGCCTGTCCATGCCTCCGAAACTGTTTAACCTGCAACCAATGCAGTGCCAAACCTCAACCGAGGTCGTTCAACATATCCACAGAACCGCATTCTGTTCTGCTTTTAATCAAGCTTAAGATAGTCGTTAAAGTTCGTCCTTGAGGCACGCCGTTCCCTTACTTAGCATTGCTCTCAAGACACGACACAGGCACTTCCACACCACTACGGACCACACCGTATCAAGCAGTAACCCCAATAACCCATAAAAGATACAGAGTAAATGTACGGCTGCTGTGAGCTGCCATTACTTTCCTGTTTGGAGCCAGTGCGGGAGGCTGCAAAACAAGCTTGCGCAGGGCCCTAGCAAAAAAAGTAGCTTGTACAAAAGACCAGGAGCAATACTTCCAGAAGAGACGTAAGTTAAGCCACAGCTTCGATCAATGCACGTGGTGCCTCAAGAATAGAACCTTCTAGACCCGCCGAACCCAAACCAACCAGGCCATGCTACAGAAGGCAATTGCAGCTGCCCATGGTAGCTCCCTCCGGGCCTCTCCATACCGTGGGTTTGGCTCTGCTCGTGGCTCCACCGCCGGGAACCCCCAACGAATCCAACTAACCGGAAATTTGGGGTAGCTCGCGGAGCCTAGATTTCGTGAAAATCAAAAGGACAGCCCCGCCTCCACTAGATTGTCCTGGACACCCGCCTCAGCCCCACTTCCGAAGAAGAAGGGACTTGCCCGATCCGACAGGCGCAGCCTGACCAGCGCCAGCGCATGTCATCTAAATTTGTTTCTTTCAGGAACTTAGGCCCCAAGCCATGCTTTCCGAAGCAGCGGCTGCTTAGAAGGTAAAGGTCTCAGCATTCGGAATGCCTCTACCGGTCAGTACTCAGAGATAGACACTTGAGGCTGGGTCGCATGCCTGTGCAGCTCGGAAAGATTCTGAAAGACGGAATGCCTTTGGAAGCTGGAGGATGGGACGACGACGTCTGGCGGACTCGCACTCAGCGCGAGGCATACTTTTGGTCAAACAACTTGGCAGCGTGGCCGACTCTAAGCCGGCTCGAGCCAACTCATAACAACAGAACATGCATTGGTTTGGTGGTCCTGGCGGGAAGTACACTGAGCATTATGGCGCAGGGTGCCCTGAAGCCCCTTTTTGCCAAATCCATAGCGGACTGTAATCGCCTAGGTGAAACACCTGGTAGACCTGTGACCTGTGATTTCGTGACCTTCTCAGACTCCATGATGTGACCGATGTAACTCGTACTCTGCGACGGTCAGCGACGGCGCGCCTAGGTACACGTGTCGTGTCGTACAAACTGTGCTTCAGAGGCAGTGGCAGTGAAGAAATTAAGGCGGGAGCTGCACCGGGTAGATTGATGGCCTTGATCCGGAGGTGGATCTTGTCAGCCATGGCCTGATACCTCAAAAAACCGTCGGGCCTTCTCATATGTTTACACGCTTTAGCTGAAAAGTCTCTGCACACTTTGGCTGGGACTGCGGCTGCTCGCGCTGACTGTCAGGCAGCTCTCTGTCTTGCAATTTTGTCAGAATTGTCCTGGCTCGGGCCCATCTGGCCGTCAAGGGAATACGGAGCGAACGCACACCGAGGCGAAGACTGCAAGGTTTTGGTCAAGTCTCCCAGCAGATGAACCTGCAGACATCCCTAGCCTACCCTCGTGCCTCGCTCTTCGAGATGCTCACAGTACCGAGGGAGAAGGTCAAGCCACAACACCCTGGACGGGAAGTTGGGAGTTTCGAGGAAGTATGTACTGATGGCGCGGAACCAGAAGCACACCCCACCGCCCGGCCATTCACATTCCTGCCCCGAAGCAGAACCTCCATCACTACACTAGCCCCGGCCCGACACGGCGAAAAGTTAACAAGTTGCCGCTTAACCGGATACCACTTGTGAAATCCAGGGTCGCCGTCCAGCAACGGTACATGAGAGCCGATTTCCGGGCTGAGAAGAGATGAGGAGATTATGTAGAGAGACGAGAGATTTGAAACCAGAATAGTGAAGGATAGGAAATTGAATACCTGACAACGCGAAGCGAGACAACACGGGCACACAGGAAGGCATGGCATCACATCTAATTCTCTGAGCAAAACTAGCAGCTAGTGTAGAATCCCAACGATTCGCTGTTGGGAGAATGCTATAGAAAACTGCTGCGGAAAGGCACGACCGTCCGAAGCGGATGATCAAAGCCCTCTGCCTTCTGGGCTCCAGCACTGTGCGCCGGTGGCATAGTGGGTTGTACAGAGCGCGTTGGTTGCGCCTGGGCATCGTCAACCGCTCAATTCGTTCTCAGTCCATCCAAGATGAGAGCTCCACCTTCGAAGCAACCTGAGCCAAGAAGCACAACATGGCTCAACATGGAACACGTCGCTCTGTCGTAGATTTAGCACACCCGCGGCCTTCGAGACTGATGTACTCGTCGGGGCCTACATGAACTCGCAACAGGCGCAGACAGACGCAAGGGTGGGAATGCACAAGATGCCCAACCGGCACAAGATGCCCAACCGGCGTAGCCTTCACAGGGCCGGCATCGAAGTTGGGGTTGGGCTGCAGCACCACCCTGCTAGTGACCGCCACATGAGGACCTCAGAGACAAGACCAGGACACGACATGCAACCATCGCAGAAGTGCTGCATCTGAGCCAGGCAACCAGTGCCATAGTTGCCACGACGGACAGTCTTTGGTCCGACAGGCGAAGCCTTGAAGGACATCGGGGACGAGTTGCAAGGTCTCTCACTGCTCTTGTCGGCATTCCCCACCGCATCTATCTCAAAGCACGCTCACTCTCGGATCTCCTGTTTCGGTGTGGCCTCCGCGGTCTTGCTTGCCAAGCGCGATCCGTTCGATGTGTCAGGGGCTGGACCTTGGCCGCAAGTTCCATATACGTCGAAGCATGGCCTTCCCTAATGATATTGCTGACCAAGCTGCCCCAAAAGTCGGCTGGCTGCGAACCTGAGGAAACATGTTCGGAGCAAGATCGACGTGAAAGACCATTGAACAGATTCCAGCCTTTGCCATTGGGCATCGGCGTGTTCCGATGCTTTGCAGGCCTGCGGTGAGACGGTCTGGAGTGAAGGTGAAATTCTATGCTGATGTATGCAGCCAATGTTGGGACTCCTGACCCTCTCAAACACAGCTCACAGCCTCGAAAAGCCTGAAACCTTCTCTCATCTCATTCTTTCTCAAAGTTTCCCAGTTGAGGCTTGGGCTGTCCGCCAGGAAGAAACGAATACTTGCAGTCCTTGCAATCTTCAGAACCAGTTTCATGACCTTTGACTTGCACCCAAGTGTCCTCCACCCATCGCACGAACGAGTGGAGCGAAGCCTGCAATCCACAGCAACTGCATCACCAGCGAACGTGTCAAACTAGTTTTGCCACTTCCGACTCGCGCCTCCACCTCGTACCCTTTTGCACTAGCGGCCTAGCGGAATTCGGGTCAGGCCTTGTCCGAAAAGAAAGCTTCCAACTCACCCGACAAGTGCTCCGGGCCTGTGCCAACACAACAGCCAGCGAGAATTTTTGCAGGGACGACACGAATGTCATGGCTACCATAACAGCCTTTGTTCATCTGTGCCAGAACTACGATGTATTCAGCCAGAACCTGAACAGGAGCACTTTAGAAGATCCGCTCTCGCACCCGCTCACCGGACCTTGGGTTCGACATCTTTGTCGCAGAGTGAGCGAAGCCGCTCCAAAACGGCTTCCTGAAGAGGCCATTGCCGCAACGAGCCGACGAAGCAGCGAAATCGCGCTGCGGCACAAAGCAGTGTCTCCGCCTGGAGGCCCAGTTGGTCCAGCTCGGAGAGCTCCTCAGAAGCTTTCAAGCTCTCCCACGGACGAAACGAAACATCGGCTTCCAACCGGCTGCGACAGCTGCGGCGCAGCAGGGGCAGGAGGCTGCACCTCTCTTTCGCAGTGGCAGTGCTTTGGGCAGACGAAATACATGAGACTTAGATTTTTTGCTGTTTTATCTTGCAGTTTGTCTTGTTGGCTAGGGCTGGGCCTGAAGACTGAAGGTACTCGCAGATGCAGCTTTCGGCCGCATTTTCAACTTGCAGCTGCCGTGACATGCATCACTGTGGAGCAAGTCTACTCAGAATGACGGCAGCAATTACCGCCAAATTGAGAAAAAAGAATGGCAATCAATAGACTTGTGCCGAGGCTGCGGCCAGAACAGAGGCGGGTTTGGGTTCAACGTCCACAGCCTTTTTTGATTTCGCCTTGCTGTCAGGACAAGCGACAGCAAGAAAAGATAGCCGGTCTTGCTTACGTCAAGTTGCAGGCATGTTCTCTTTGAGCGATACTTGGATTTCTAATGTGATTTACTTGAAGCTGCTGCATTAGCACATTCCCTGCTTCAGGTTGCATAAGCCGCATAAGCTTCTTCAAGGGCAAGTTCTAGCTTACCAACTCTAGTCACTCTATTCCAACAATCTGCACCGGAACGCCGGAACCGGTAAAAGTCTTGGCTGACAACTCTCGCCTGAGAAGTTCCCCACGAGACAAGTATCCCCACGAGACAAGTATTGGAAACATCTCCCACTCTGTTGCCGGCGCACCGGCATAGGCTCTGCAGATGCTTTCTTGTTCTTCGCCTCGCGAAAACAGGAATCATGTTGCAATAAAGCAGCCACCACACTTAGCACGCAGCCGGAAAGCTTGGTTCAGCTGTCGCCACTTTTTTGGCTTTCGCCTCTAACGGAAGTGAATGGCCGCGACCGTGTTTGTCTGACAGATGAGGCGATGGCGGCAGGTGGCACCGCAGCAATCGTTTTTTTGACCTACACTGCAGCAGATCAGCAATGAAGTCGAGGACATAAGTGTGTCATGGTGTAGTCTAGCACTGGAATACGCCTTTTTCGGAGATGCTGCCTTTGGCCTCGATAAATCAATCCGCCAAAGCTTGACGTCACGGCCGCGTGAATCACTCAACGATGCAAGGCAGCCAGACAAACGGAAGTGCGCCTCTTGTTCACTTTCGGGGCAGGCGGCGGAGGAACCTCAATGGAATTCAATGGAGGACCACGCCAAGATACGCAACAATAGGAAAGGGCTTCACTTTCCAGAACCAGACTCATCACGCCAGGGAAAGGCATTACACACAAACCAAACCCTGAAGTAGCGATTGACCCCGTATTGGCACGGCTCTTTGAGGATAAGCAACAAATCTAGCATTATCCTGCTAGTATCTTTGCTTTTACGGTTGTAATGTGCACGCCATTGGAAAATGATATTTATACAAGCAAAGATGAAATAAATAGTAAAGCAGGATTCTCAAAAACGATGAACATATGATTTCGACACGAAAACCCATGCAGACAACGAAGGCTTTCACAGGTTCAGCATACATCCCTGCTACGTGCTCCTTTCTCCAACAGCTTTCGCTTCGGCGGCGTATTCTGCGATTCTGACTCTCTTCGCAGTCTAATCGGGTTCATCAAAAGTTACACTCGCGCTTCATACAGACATGCTCTGTCCGCAGTAACGACCATGATGAACTGTTGGTTCGGCAGCCCCGTCTGGATGTGTTCGGCGACCTTTTCGACGTCAAAACTGGGGGTTACATCTCCCACTGGTACTGCCGAACATTTCTCGGTGACGAAGCTCGCGCAATGCTCGTCGATCTCCCACGAAAGTGTGAGGAGTATGTTATCGTTGATTTGTCGGAGGGCCTCGCTCGCGACGCCGATGCCATCGAAGAATGTCATGTGGACAACACGTAGATGCCCCACCAGGCTCCTGCACAAAGTGGTCACATGGTGGTTATCAGGATGGCCGTCTCCAGGATCCGTGGATCCTGGGCCGCGCTGTCCGTATTTCTTGCCCCCTTGCCCGACCTACCCTTCTTGCCGTTGCCCTTGTTGCTCTTGTCGGTGTGTTTCGGTGTCCAAGATGGCCCAGGTGTGTAAGCGGGCAACGGGTTGAGTAGTAGGTTCGGAGTAAGGACCATAAAGACAGTCTCGCGGGAACCAAGTCGGCGGTGGTGTTGGGGGCCATTGTGACGGCGAAGTATTCGTCGAGCCATACCTGCGCCCTTTCCCTCGCGGGGACCATCTGGGCTGATTGCCATAATTTCCCTTTGCCGGTGGATGTCGGAGCGGAGAATCGCTGTCTTTTCGAAAGTGGTTGCTGAAGAATCTCGCTGACCTTCGCGATTCGCGGTGTCTACCATAAGGTGTGTGTGTGTGTGTGTGTGTGTGTGTGTGTGTGTGGGTGGGTGGGTGTGGGTGGGTGGGTGGGTGGGTGGGTG